CCTTGGCTCCCTTAGCTGTCTCAACAAGTGTTTTGGAAGGGGCCACACTGTGCAGCTTGGCCACGATATATTCAAAACCCTTCATCGTCTTGATCACATTGGTTTTGAATTGGGCGAAACCGAATTCCTGGACAGCTCTGAAGATGCTTAAATAAGCAATAGGATACCCAGGCTTTCCAGTGGATTGGCATCCAGGTGCTGCTGCCAGAGTTCCCAGAGTAAGCACGTGGTTCCTCCATCACCACAGCTGGGTGTGGTTGATGTTCCAGGTGAAGTGGTCATGTCTGATTCGGTGGCTTCACAGTAGAGTGTTTCAGGATGGACACTGAGCGAGCGGCACTGGGGAAACAGTGGCTTGGCCCAGCAGGGCATCTGCTGGTCTTGGTCAGGTCGCCGGAACAGAAGCTCAGGGGTTTCCACCCCGTGTAATGTGTTTGCTGTAGGGATTTGGGTACCGCTGTCATTAGGCAGCAAACACTCGGTCCCAGGACCTCCGGAGCACGTTCCAGACCAGGAAATACCTCACCATCATCCTGACTGGGAAGGGCTTGGCACGTAGGCAACATCAGAGTGCAGAGGGTGGGGAATATCCACCCCCGACCAGACCCCACAGCGTGCCCAAGCACCCATACAGTCAATTTTAAATTGCATGTTTGGGGAAAGAGTCCATACAATACCAAATGGCTATGTGATGTTATAGCCTCTCCCATAGAGTGGAGGCCACTGTTGCAACTTTTAAATGGACTGTTTTCTCCAGAGTTGCTACAGACACATGCATCAGCACAGCCTCAGAACCCACTTTCCAGTCAAGATAGGTGACATGGTGATTCTTCTTCTTCCAAGGTCTGAAACTATCCCAGGAAGAAATACAGCTTGACTGAATTAAATTGTTTTCAATAAGATTTTTAAGAAACCCACCAAATCAATTGGGGTTTTATTTTTGGCAGCCCCAGCAGCCAAACTGATTCATCCAACTGATCCATTAAGTAATGCACAAGTAGTTGATGAGATGACCAGAAAAAGTGATTTTGCTGGGGAAAAATGTTTGGAATTGGAAGCAGCTGGGATTTAAGCGCTAGAGCTCACAGGTTCCAGTCTAGGACTTAGTAGCCTCAGGCAGACACTTACCCTGCTTTTAGCAGGGTCATTGACTAGAAGGATAGGATAGAACTGGAGCAGGCTGGGTCAGGGTCTTTCTAGTCAATGTGTATCTTTGAACCTGTGCAGGTGTGTAGGCTACAGTGTGCAAACTGATGTTCTGAAGACCACCCCAAGAGCCTTGCATCTCTCTCTCTTTATCCTGTTGCAGGTCTAAGAATCTTTTGAGGCCAAAGAAAATGAATTTTAAAGCTCAGACTTAGATCCAGCAGCCAGTGTGAAAGCATGTGCCATGGAGATGCAGCCCAGCATTGCAGGAATGTGTTCTCTGAGGACCAAGTACTTTTCTTATCTCAGTATGTTTTCCTTCTATCCCACCCCTCCCACCTGACCATCTCTCCTGATTGAATCTCCCAGTGAATTTGCCTGTTGCTTTGACAACAGCTGGAAAGAGGATGTGGGGGATGGTGAAGTGGAAGACTGGAAATACCACATCACCCTGTGGTAGAATTGCTGCTGAGATCCAGAAGGGAGCGTAGCCAGAATGAGATGTTAGCTTGAGGCTTGGAAACAGCAGCATGGGATGATCTGCCCTGGGAGGGAGGGGCTTCTCTCGCTCCTTTTCCTGCTCCTTGGAATCCTCCAGAACTCTGAAAATAAAGGATTTACTTCAGGGGACAGAGCTGGTATCTTTCCAAGAGAAAGGCAAGTTGATGGCAAGAGGCTGAAGCTCCAGTTGTGGTGTAATTTAGGATGGAGGCTTATCAGCCTGAAGGAAGCAGTTTGGAAGCAGCCTGGGTGGATCTCTCCCTACAGAAATGCTCTGCTCAGTCCTCCTGCTACTTAAAAAATGAAGTGTGGTGGACTAGTGTGGAGACCTCGTAATGCCTGGATGATCACACAGACTTGGATATGGAGCATAAGAATGGACCCAGGCAGTACCACTTAAGTGAAGATAAATAATGGGCAACTCAGACAAGAAGGTCAACCATCTGACTTTAAATAACGTTTTTTTCTCGAGCTGAATTGCCTAGAGTTGAATGAGGTCAGATTTGCATTCACGTATCTTTCCTTAGCTCAGCTGGTAACTTTCTGTGTTTTCTCCCGAGGGGGTATTAAAAGCAGAGCTGCTTCACATGAATGTGATGGTTACCATTCAGAACCCTGTCACGACTTTGTCTTTTCTCTATCATCTTGAAGGAAAAATTATGTTCCATAGCTTCAAGGTCAACTGTGAGCTATTTGGGCTTGGAAATGAAATGAGACCCTTGGAAAGCTTGTCCCTCTCTTCATTCATATTTTGCTGATGTTTAATAAAACTCAGTTATTCTCCAGCCTGGGGTTGGAGATCAGGCAGCCATAAATGGGCAGCCATAAACCTGTCCGGAAAATTTCATTAGGTAGAATTAGTTTTTCTTTTCTTTTTTTTTTTTCTGCCATAAAGGGGAGTATATGTGTGTGGTTTTGTTTTTATTTTTGTTTTCCTTGCTTTGTTTTTAAATTGTTTGCTTTTGCTTTATGTTTTGTTTCTGTGGCTTTTAGAGCTGATCTTCTAGCCTGAAGGAGTGTCTGGAAATGAATGTGTAAATAGTAGTGGCCTCTCTGCCTGGTCCCCCACCCTGTTCCTTTAACTTTCAGACTCAGAAGCTAGAGTCCCCAACTCCCCAGGGGGCAGACTTAGCCTTGCCCTCAGCATTGGGGTTGATTTTATTCCTGGCTGAGGGAATGTCAGGGGACTAAGGTCAGAAGTGGGATAACTTGCTGCTGTCTGTTCATGTTCGGATCTGGTGTCCTCCATCCTAAATCAGACCCTGGTCCTAGTGCTCTGTTTTCAGCCCTCTTCCTGTTTATCGTCTCTACAGCACTGGCCCTGCTGACCATCACCTGCTTCTCCATTGGTTTCTGGGCAACCACTTGTTTTCTGATTCTCTTCCCTATTCTTCTCAAGTCTTTCCAGCCTCCTTGGCAAACTCTTCTCTGCTCTCCGTAAAATGTTGACATTCTGTAGGGCTCTATCATTTGTCATCTTCTCTGGATAATCTTCCTTACACCTGTGACCCTAGTCACCAAGTCTAGGATACTGACTTCCAACTGTTGCTACTGAACTCCAGACATAAGTTTCCAGGTTTTCTGGTCATTTTGACTAGTACGCTCTTTAGTAGCTGAAACTTAATATATTTCAATAGGAACTCGTTATCTTCTCTCTTGTCTTAGTCCCTTTGAGCATCTATGACAAATTATCATAGGCTGGGTAGCTTATAAGCAATAAAAATTTATTTCTCACATTTCTGGAGGCTGGAAAGTCTTAGATCAAAGTGCTGGAAAATGTGGTATATTGTGAGACTTGCTTCCTGGATTATAAATGACTTTCTTCTCTCTGTGTCCTCACATGGCAGAATTGACAAAGATGCTCTCCCAGGTGTTTTTTTTTTTTTTTTAAATAAGGGCACTAATTCCATTCATGAAAGCTCTACCCCATGATCTAATTACCTTTCAAAGGCCTCCCCTCCTAATACCATCACATTGGGGGTTAGGATTTCATCATATGAATTTTAGGGGGACACAAACATTCAGTCTATAGCACCTATCAAGGTAGATCTTCTTGTAGTTTTGATTTGGATTGGTAGACTACCACCCATCCAGTCCCTCAGGTCAAAATCCCAGGGTCGTCCTAAACAATTTATTTTTCCTCATTCCTTGTGTTCAACTGGTCATCATATTCTTATGTTTTTACTTCAGAAGTTTTTCTGGACTCTTACCTCTCCTATCCATTTTCACTGCTACTGCTTTGGTGCAAACCCCCATCCTTCTTCACCTACAAAAATACAATATTATAATTCTTAAACAGGCATAAGCTTAACAAAAAATGAATGAATGAATGACCTATCTGGTACCAGACAGACTATTGTGTGGGTTAAAGGAGGTACTTTATGGAATGCACACTCAGGATAATGATTGGTACATAGTAGAGGCTTAATAAATGAGTTATTTATACATTATATATAGGAAATATGTGAAAGCATGGACTTTGGATCTAGGCATCCTGAGTTCAAATCCAAATTCCACCATGTACATTTATTATGTATGTGATTGCTGTGCCTCCATTTGCTCATCTGTAAAATGGGGATGAATATGATAAGGCCGTTGAGAGAGTCAAATGACTTATTTATGTAAAGCACTTAGAACACTGCCTGGAATATAGTTCATGAGCAATATGTTAGCAGTCACTATTATTATTGTTATTAGTTTCCTGTCTCCTATCTTTTATAAGTAACATGTTGGCTTTATTAGAGGAAGAAAGTTCTTATGTATGGCATTCTAAATTTACATAGAGAAAAAAAATCATCACCTATTTTTCCCCCAAGTAAAAGTCATATCTCTAAGTTATGACTTTCATAAATGCTGAATCACAGTCTTTTTTCATAGTACAGTGTTTATAATAGCTCTTTCGGATGACCAGCCATCCTGGTTTGCCTAAGATGGAGGGCAGTAGGGGCAGTTTTCTGGGATGGTGGACTTTTAGTGATAAAAGAAGAACAGTCTTGGATAAACCAGGATAGCTGGTCATCCTGGTTTTTTTATGCTTAATAGAGCTCCTCTTCTGAAGTTCATCTTCCAAACATAATTCCCCAAGCATATTTCAAAGATAAAACAAAATATATGAATTAAGGTGAGGGGCTTGAATGGAAGGTTGGGAACATAACCTAGGAATCCTCATGTACCATCTTCAGTCCTTATCCATCAAAATGTCCACTTTAAGGGGATTTTGCAGATGGATGAAGGCTTTTTCTTACTGGTGAAAAGAACGACTCACTTCTGGCATTGTTCTAAAACCCTGCAGCTCTCTTCAGCGTAGTGTCTGCATTGAGCAGCCAACTGAAGTCCTGTTTCTCATCCCCTAGGCCTTCTCCTCTTCAGATGGACTACAGGAGGCCACGAGGCCCCGGTGGCAGCCGATCAACTCTGAGCACAGCCACTGCATAGAGGGTTCAGTGAAGTGAGTGGGGCTATTACTCCCCACCAAGCTGTTCCACTGCCTTACCTCCTGTGTTTTTAAACTCCAGTTTTTATCTTTCCCTGTTGGCACCAAACTTATCTTCATAAAATATAAATCAAATCACATTATTTCCCCATGAAATCTGTTGACGCCTGTGGCTAGTGGGATCAGTGCCAAATCCTTGTCTTACTCTGTAAGATCTTTCACACTCTGGCCCCCAGCAACTCTCTAGCACTTCTCCTGGCATTCCTCGGGTGACCTCTGCTTCAGTAACCCAGGACTCACCACTGTTCCTCAAAGCTCACTAACTCTGACTTTCATTAACTCAGGCTTCTGTATGTGCTATATTCTCTGCCTTGCAAACCCTTTCCCTTGCTAGGCAAATTCCCACATGTTCCTTAAAACCCATATAAAAGATGATCTCCTCTGTGAAGGTAATCCTTGGCTCCCCTCTGGGTACCTAGAGCGCTCTGTTCAGACCTTAAAGAAGTTCCTACTTAATATGAGAACACATTTGCACATCCATCCCTCCCTGGAGGCTTTGAGTATCATGAGGGACTGGACCTCTGGTGTATTCTTCTTAGAATTCACTGTGTCTAGTACAGGTCTGCTGAATAATCAAATAACAGCAGCAACAAAGCCCAAACCACAACAACAACGGTTAACCTTGACTGGGAGCATTTATACTGTGCTGAATGCTTTTCTAAATGCTTTATAAGCCTCAGCTCAGTCCTTTAAGGAAAATGACACTACTACCCCCATTTTGTAATGAAGATAAGTGCTAATTTGGTTAGAAACTGGAGTTCATCTTTGTTCTGCCTAGAGAGCAAAACCTTATGAGGCTTAGACATTTCACCAATAGAATGTTTTTAAAAAGCTTTAAAATATTTGAGTATAACCTTTCTTAATCCATTCTAACATGTTGGAGGCTCTTGCTCATATACAAAGAGCCGATGTGCCAATCGCAAATTCAAGCTAACTGCTAAATCAACCTCCAAATAAAGAAAAACTTGTTTAAGACATTTCCTTAACCCAATGTCACTTTTAGCTTGTATCTGAAAGTTATAAAACTGTTTTCCTTGGAAAACATCCTTAGTGAAGGTGTTTAATGGAGCCACCTTGACCTTGGCTTGGTTAGTATGAATCAGGCTTACGAGCCATTGACAGCTATACCTCCTGCTCATTTTCCAGGAAATATCCATGTTAGCCTTAGCCAATGCCAGTGCTTTGTACCACATGCCCTGCTTTGGTGTACAATTTGAAGTGTCAAAAGCACTCACTGAAAACTTAAGCCAATCCACAAAATACGGCTCTGAGAATCCTTACCATATGGATTCAGTTATAGTTTCACCATTCTGGGTAATTATGAAGGATAGGAAAGATAAGTATAATTTATTTAGACCCTCTTATTTTTCAGCTGTGCATTGCCTCCATCCCCATATTCCATTTTCAGAGGAAGAAATTGAGGCTCAATAATTTGTGTAACTTGTCCAAGATCTTTCTGCAAGTAAATGTAGAACTTGGGAATGGAACCAAGATGAGTCTTACAAGTCCTGTGTTACTCATCAGTGAGCTACACAGCCTTACAGTGCAGATAGCACAACGTCTGTGGGCATCCAGCACTCGAATAGTTTGGAAAACATCAGCCTGTGTTCTCCAAATGAGATCTGGTATTCACTCTTGGCCTCCGTATTTCTAGGGTGATTCTACATTCTGTGTTACCAGGGTAGGTTAATCCTAAAGATAACCTACTTGTTCACTATTCTGTAGAGTTGGAGATTTCCTCTGGACGTTTTCCGTGGGCATGGTGATGAGTGGGACCAGGGTAAGGATGTAGTGGGCGATTGCTGGCATAGTAGCCTAAGAGCAGGGTAACTGGCTGACCTGTTTAGTGGGCCATGTTTAAATCTGTCCCTAACCTTTTCCTAAGCACTCTCTTTCTGTCTTATCTTGTTTCTACTTCTGGCATGAAGGATCTTGACCAATTTAATGATGAATAATGACGAAACTCAAGAAACATTCTTATTACTATGATTTTTAATTTTGAAAATGAGGATTATGTGGGTAACCAGAAACTCCAGGCTGACTCCATCTAAAGACCTGGGTGGCCATGCTAACTCTTTCATACACTGAGAAAATCTTGGTTTCACAAACATTGCAGCAATTTGAAAATAGTTCTCTAGGCTATAAAATTTATCTGACTAAAACCAATCTAATCCCTTGAACCAAAGATCAAACTTTTTGCCAGATATAGTTTTATATTGTCATTTTAACCTTCAGGTGGGACAGCAGTTGTTTCTAAGTTTTAATATTGAGAATCTGTTTCCATAGCCAAGAGGAAGTGTGGGTGGAAACAATTAACTGGACAGTTCAGTCAATCAACTCGGAAGCTTACTGACCAGAGTGTTTAGAGCTACCTACCTTTCTTCTGGTTTTAATTTTGTAGTTTATCAGAGTCCAGAATTTCAGTCTGGTTCATAACTTTTATTTAACTACCGATTTTTGAAACTGGGCTTGAATTAGTGCTGCTTTGGACTTTCTCTCTTGGGCTGGGAGACCTGGCAGCAAATCCAAACTAAAATAGGAATCAGCTCTTCAAGTCCAAACGTGAAAACAAATGCGGTCCAAGGCCTAAATGCCCAAAGGACACTGGGAATGGGTGAAGTGGAATCAAGAAAGCTTTTGGTGACACTATGGGAAGGGCTATTGAATATCTTCTCAGGACAGCACAAACTGTCAGAGGCACAGCATATTTAGAACCTATTTTTAAAACTGTTTTATATTTTTTAGCTTGATTGATAGATATATTCATTTTTTTTTTTAGAAAAAAGAAATGGTGACCCTCCTAAGAGGCAAAATACTAGCCCTGAGTGTTGTGGGATGTACTAACTCTTCTAATGACTCAGGCACTGCCCAAAGCTAAGACACCTCAGCCCAAAGGAAGATGAGAGCTGAAAGGAACATCGAGCTTATCCAGGGCAGTGCTTCTCAGCTTGTGCCCACACTGACTTGACTTGGAAGTATTTGAGAAATACTGATGCCTGGGCCCCATTCCAGACCAATTAAATCAGAGTGTCTGGGAGAGACACGCAGAAAGTGGTAGGTTTTAACACCTCCCTAGGCATTCTGCTGATCAGCCAAGGTTGAGAAGAATCAAACTAGACTCATTTTACATATGAAGAAATAGAAACCCAGATATTGAGATAAAATATGTTGCCTGAGTCGTGTAGCTAGTGTCAAAACCTGACTCTTGTTTAGTGGTCTTATGTCACACGAAGTTGCTTCTCTTTATTGTAGTTTTGCCATAAATTAAAAGCATACTTGAAAATGTTAGTTTACAAAGTACTTTTAAGAAATGGATTTCATTTTAAGGAAAATAGTGATTCAGTGGCCAATACACTGATGTTTTCTGCATGATCTTCAGACCAATCTCCATGCTTATTGTGCTTGGGCCTCTGAGTCAAAGACTGGCTCCTTTGCTGCTTCTCCATCGTTGGCCTAGCATGCTTGCATTCTGTTTCTTCTCTGGAAACCTGGCATGCTACTTTGATTCACTTTGTTAATGGGAAGATGGGAAATAGTCTCTAGAAATCCTTTTTTTTTTTTTAGACAGAGTCTTGCTTTGTCACTCAGGCTGGAGTGCAGTGGCGCAATCTCAGCTCAGTGCAAACTATGATTCCCAGGATCAAGCTTTTCTCCTGCCTCAGCCTTGAGTAGCTGGGATTACAGATGTGCAGCACCATGCCCAGCTAATTTCTGTATTTTTAGTAGAGACTAAAAATACAAAATTATAGTTTTTACCATATTGGCCAGGCTGGTCTTGAACTCCTGACCTCAAGTGATCCACCAATCTTGGCCTCCCAAAGTGCTGGTATTACAGGCATGAGCCACTGCACCTGGCCCTTCCTATATATGTTTAGCTGGTGATACATTTCTACCAGAGAAACATTTTTTACAGAACTCACTTCATGTGGGAGCCATGTGTCCAAGAGAGCAATTGTTTTGGGTGAAGGGCACATCCAGACATGTGCCAGCATTACCCTACAAGATATCGGGTTATCAAGTAAATGTCTACATTGCACGTAAGCAACCATTCATGGAAACTTACCATTTTATTTGTCCAGCTCACCCTGTTTGCCACATTCCAACTAAAATTTATAGCTAGGCTTACCAATAATATCATTTAATCACATTTTATAGACAAAACTTCAAGGTGTTCAGGTCCATGTGTCAAAATTAAAATTTCTTCTTGTGTTAAAAACATGGAACAATCTATGATCTAAATTTCAAGATATTTAGAAAAATTGCTTTATCCAGACTAATGGTCCCCAACCCTGACCTATTAGATTCACCTGGGGAATTAATATGTGTGCATATATATATATATATATATATATATATATATATATATATATGTGTGTGTGTGTGTGTGTGTGTGTGTGTGTGTGTGTGTGTGTATGTATATATATGCCCTGGCCCCACCCTAGAGATTCTGATAGAATTGGCTCTGGAGTGGGCCAAGAGCACTAATATTTTCAAATGTTCCTCAGCTGAGTGTCACAGGCAGTTTGGTTGTGAACCATTGCACCTGACTATAAAATAGGGCCCTGAGCTTGGAACTTTTTGCTATGACCATATTGCTCTAGCATTTTTATTTCATTTTAAGTATTCAAAAAATTTATGTTTAAGAGAGAAATATTTTTAAAATACTTCTTTGGGTATATTTTCTTCCAATAATCCATACACTCTTCTCTTCACCTTGCAACCTCATTATGGCTAGGGCAGAGATTTATCACCCCTGAGAAGGAGAAGTTGGGTTCTGCCAAGAACGGTGATTTGCAACCCTTGATGCCCTTTAGAATCACCTGGGGAGCTATAAAAAAACTGCCAGTACCTGAATCCACTTCAGACTAATTAAATCAGAATTTAGGGGGATGGGCTGAGGGATTACTACTACAAAAGTACCTCCGGCATAATACTTTTTATCATGCAGCTAACGTTGAGAACCATGGCTCTAACAAGAAATAACTTGTCAACTTAAAATAAGATTCTTATTTCTTAGCATCTCTCATGTTCTAACCCAAACTTTTAAAATGGAGAGAAAACAATTTACTTACCTATAGTTGGAAATGATAGAGGTTATTGACAATATGATTTTATGATTTAATCTAATATTTATTGAACACTTACTATATGAAAGGCAGATATGATTGAAAATATCTCCTGGAAACCTTTTGTTTGTCTACTTTGGGTCAGATAGAAGGAACCCAGGGTGGATGTATGCGTCTAGGTCCCTGCAGGAAAGAGTGGCACACTCAAACTGGAGATATGGCATAACAGTGCTAGATAAGAATTTGGCTTTGATACTAACTAGCCACACATTATCCTAATGTTATTTTGGAAATTTCTATTTTCATTTTCCTAGACACAAAGGTGTGACTTGGGCACCGCGCAGGTAAAGATGTTCCTGAAGATATTTAGGAAAGTAGCTAGGGATGCTCTCCAGAATTAAACACAAGAATACATTTTAATTTTTATACATGGACCTGAACACCTTGAAGTTTTGTCTATAAAATATGATTCAATGGTGTTGTTGGTAAACAGCTAGGGATGGTCTCCATTCATTCAAAAATTCATTTGTTGGGTGACTATCATGTATAGACACAGGGTCAGGTGTTGGGAATCTCAAAATAAAGACAGAATCCCTGCCCTCAAGGAGACTGGTTTCATAGAGATACAGGAAAGCACATAAAGGTGAACAGCAACACGGTTTACCTGGCGGTTGTGGAGTCAGCCTTCTGGAGTGCTGCTTCTCCATTGCTAGCCTAGCATGCTTGCATTCTGTTTCTTCTCCAGAAACCTAGCACACTACTTCGATAGTGCCGTAGTTGCTATTAAAGAGAAGGATTTGAGTATCTGCCAAATACTTGTGACTTGTGCATATGAGTGTGTGTGTGTACACATATATATGCATGCTTGCACACACATTCTTCAGATAGAAAGGATTCTTACTGGGATACAGTGGGGGAGGAATAAGGAAAAATCAGTAGCTTTTTTCTTAACATTTTTCTGGTGTGAACATAAGCAGAAACTCAACACAGCACAGGCTGTGAGGAAAGGAAAATGCATCAAGTCTAAACTATCTTCTCTCTTCTGGCTCAAAAGTAGGTGACATCAACAGGATGTGGGGTTTCAGGATGAGCTTTGCATCGCATGAAATGAATTAAACCTCACAACTCCTTGGAACAGGAACCTGTTTTCATGTGAGTTCCCCAACAGCTTTTGGGAGAGCCTTGAAACAAATGGATTTAGCATCTGGGTTTTTTGTTAGGTTTGATTTGCTTTTCTAACATCCGGTACTTTTGCAAAAATCTTTGAACACAGAAAGCTAAACCAAAGCTCAGAAGGAGGCAAGTGTCCAAGAACATATGGAAGCCTAAGAGGTTAATATGCTTCTCTTTGTCTCTGTCCTGATGTACATCCTTTCAGCCTTGACTTTTAGCAAGTGACCTTTAGCAGAGATGTGAGGGTCTGTCACTCTGACATTTGACAGCTAGGGAGATTCATTCTTAACAGAGCAATAGGTTCAAGGGGCAGGCTAGTTGTCCTATTCTAGTTTTTGTGAGGGAGAAACAACATCTTGGGAGACCAATTATCTAGTAATATGTATTTTCTTGTTGTTCAACCTCAGTGAGACACAGAGACTGAGATGGGTCCCAGAAAAAGTAGGGAAGAGGGACTGAAGAGGGTCTGAGTGAGGAATGGAGGTGGCTGTTGGCATTTATTCAGGGACGTTGCAGAGTTGCCCTTTAAAGAGATCTCTTCAATGACATTAGAAAGAAGTAGAGACAGATCCCTTTATAACCTGGGCTTTAGTATGATCTCATTTCCGATATTTTGAAGGCTATCTCATTATTGTGTTGGATGCCCCTTAAGTGCTCCAAACTTTCTTTCTGGATGTACCCAGGACACTTTGGGGGTGTTAATGTGGCCATGCAGGTGAGGTGAGATGAACAGGGATGATCTCTTGCGAGGTAGTCCTAGCATCTCTAACCCTACGGCTGTCTAGCCTCTGACACCATTCTGCCTCTGACGTGTCTCTTAAACTTCAAGCAACCTATATTTAGGAGATTATGTAAAAAGTATTGAAAGCAAATGGACATTCTGCTCTAAGGTCAGAGTTCTGCTGTGCCTGATAATGCTGCTTTGATCTCCCGGCCCCTGCCTGCCTAGATCTATGGTCTCTGTCAGCCAGCTTCACTCTGGACTTGACCTTTTGCTGGCCTAGACCTGTGGTTACTGTCAGGGCTCTATTCTCTCAGCATGTCACCTCTGGCAATTTTTTAAAAAATCCCCAAATCTTAAAATTCAGACATCCCAGATTCTGTTCCATCTCATTGCAAAGGCTTTTTGAAATTAAAAAAAAAAAAGAAAAGAAACAAAGCAAAAAACAAACAAACAAAAAAACAAGAGGGCAAAGAAATGGTTTTAAGAGGAAATTTCAACAAATGATAAGATCAATGATGCAGTAACAGCAGTTTGTTTGGCTAAAGCCTTATAACAGGCATATAGAATCCTAGATGAATTTTAACAGAGCTGGCTAAAATTGAGAGCTTATTTGTTGCAGTGCCCTGTCCAACAATCAAAAAAAGATGCTTATCTCCTCTCCTTTTGAAAATTTCTGGGTGTGCTTTCCTTTGATTTGCTCATTTTGATATTTCATAACCCTGGTAGCCAAATAGTGCTTCCTCATATCCAGCTGGAATATTTGTTACTTAATTAAAAATTCTATTTTCCATCCTGTGGCAATTTTGGTTATTTTTTTTTTGATCTTTTCCAGATGTGTACATGGTTTTCACAATGTGGTGAACTAAGTTGGACATGATACTCTGTTAAGGGTCTGACTGCTGCAGAGTATATTGGAACCACTGGGCTAGGATTCAGAAAGATTCTAGCTCCTTGCCTGCCAGGAACCAATGGTTTGACCTTGGACAAGCCACTTCCCTTGTCTGGACTTCATGCTCTTCATCACTAAAGCGAGAGTAAGTATCAGACTACATGATCTCTCAAGATTTCTTCCAGCTCTGATGCTTGTGTCCAATAAGTTTGCTAAAATTAACATACCTCAGTCAATGAATCTGTGCTTAGCATGTAATAGTTAGACAATAAATGTTTGCCAAACTGAATTAAATCATAGGAATTTCCACTGAAGTTTTCTCTCAGTATGTATGTACTAAACCTTTTAATCTCCCCTGTGTCCTCCATCCCTTCCAGGAGGGATGTATGTCTTTTATAGAAATGAGAACCAGCGTGCAGTGGTGAAGCTGCTGTCTTCCCAAAGTGTCGCAGGCACCAGCATCGGAGGAGTGAGGATTCTCAGGTTTCACAGACAATCAGGCCCAAACTGTTTCTAGTCACTTCCCTACTGCCATAGCCAATCTATTAAAATGCCTGTGTGATTCTGGAAAGAAAACAAGTGCCCATGAAAAGGAGGTTATAAATACATCCAATTATAAATATATCCCATTAAAAATAGATATTGACAAGGAGCTCCAGATAGAGTTGTCCTCAGCAAACTGAGCTGAACAAAGTGGCCTGTTATCCAGAAAGCAGTAAGACTTTCTTACGTGATTCCTTAATAATATCTTTGGAGTTGTATAAGCCTCATAACTAGCTACTAAATAGTGTATGTAGTCAGTTAAGAATTGGGCTTGAATGGTCCAGTAAAGATAGAATTAGGACTGAACACATATTTTTCCTCTTTGTGTCACAGGACTTACAAACTGCAGTGACTATGTTGCTGGAAGGACTGAGCTGACTTTCGAAAGTGAGAGTGGCATGCGGTCCTTAACATCTCTGGTCTGTAACAACTCCCATGGAGACCCCTGGCCTGGGATGGTGGAAGAACCACAGACCTGGAACCAGAGGGCCTGGACTTCGACCGCAGGTCCTGCATGCCCTACCTCGATGACCTTGGACATATGGTTTGGCTCTTTGTCCCCATACAAATCTCACGCTGAATTGTGAACCCCCCGTGTTAGAGTTGGGGCCTGCTGGGAGGTGATTGGATCATGGTGGGGTGGGGGGGAGGTTTCTAATGGTTTAGCACCATCCCCCTAGTGCTGTCTTGTGATAGAGTTCTCACAAGCTGTGGTTGTTTGAAGGTGTGTAGCACCTCCCCCTTTTTCTCTCGCTCCTGCTCTGCTAAGGTAAGACGTGCTTGCTTCTCATTCACCTACTGCCATGATTGTTAAGTTTCCTGAGGCCTCCCAGCCACGCTTCCTGTACAGCCTACAGAACTGTGAATCAATTAAACCTCTTCTCTTTATAAATAACCCAATCTCAGGTAGTTCTTTATAGCAGTGTGAGAATGGAGTAATACACTTGGGGAAACTAGTTAACCTCTTGTGAGCCTCGGGTTCACATTAGCAATTAAATATGTGAGAAAGCAGCCTAATATAGTATTTGGCAGGTGGGAAAACTCAAATTAGTGTCTTGTAATGATGGTCCAAAGTTGGGTTGTGATGTAGGAATGACACAGCACTGATTTAGCTGGCATGTGTTGTGGTTGAGGCCCTGCTGGGATACCACATTCAAATTGTATGGAAGCTCTTTCCCCAGTGTTTGTCCACTAAGGCTGCCATAATAAAATGTCACAATGGGCAGCTTAAACAAAAGAAATCAATCTCCTCACAGTTCTGGAGCCTGGGAGTCCAAGTTCGAGATGGCAGCAGGGTTGGTTTCTGCTGTGGGATCTCTGCTTGGCTTACAGATGGCTGCCCTCTTGCTGCCTCTGCATGGGGTCCTCTCTCTGTGCACTCTTGTTCCTGGTGCCTCTTTGTACGTCCTCATCTCTTCTTTTTATAAGGACACCAGTCACACTGGATTAGGGCCCACTCCAACATCCTCACTTCATTACCTCTTTAAAGGCCCTATCTCTGCAGTCACATTCCCAGGTACTCGGGGTTAAGATTCAATGTAGGAATTTAGGTGGGGGGATACAATTCAGTCCATAAGACCCAAGAACTCACTGAGACTACAGGAGGAGCTTAAATCACAGGGCTGCATGGGTTTTGCAGTGCAGCCCCGTTTGTAATCTATGAAATTCTGTGCTCAAGGCTAATCTTCCTTCCCCCCACTTCCTTTTCTTTTCCTGGGAGGAAGACTCAAGTGAACATCTCCATTTTGACAAGTATATATCTCTTCTTTCTTTGCAGAGATTCTTTACCCATGGTCTCTTAGGTTTATGAACAAGGAAGCTGAATGAAGTTTTTTTCCTTTCTGGGTGAGCCCCTGGGTTTCTGGAAGATCCTTAAAATCTTAAAATGGCTTCTGAGCACTGAAGCCCAAGCTGTTAGCTGGCCTGTGTGAGGCCATGAGACAGAATGCCACAGCCACACCCCAAGGATGCTGAAGGGGGTTTCCCTCTTCTGTGGTTTTTCTCCTTTCTCCTCGCAGGGCTCCTCCTACATGGTGAGTCATCTAGAACTGCAAACACACAGCCAGCTGTTTGGAATATAAGAAATAAGCGTAGCCAGAGGCATCTTGGGTCTAAGCTCTCTTCTCTCTTTCTCTCTTGTATTGATCATTTCCCAAGTCACTTCCTTTCCCCTCCTTCACTTCCCCTTCCTGTTCTTCCTAGGACTTAATGCAGGTAGCTGGTGAGGTTGGGTCTTTGTCAGTCAATGTCGGACCTCACCTAACATTGGTATTTATCAAAGTAACAGTTACATCAAAGCCCTTTTTCATATACTTGAAGTATTGTCTTTCTTTTTTCCTTCCTTCCTTTCTCTGTCTCTCTTCTCTTTCTCTCTCTTTTTCTTGTTCTTTCTTTCTCTCTCCCTTTCTTTCTTTTGTCTTTCTGTCTTTCTTTTTTGAGACTGAGTCTCACCCTGTCACCCAGGCTGGAGTACAGTTGGAGGGATCCCGGCTCACCGCAACCTCTGCCTTCCCAGTTCAAGCAATTCTCCTGCCTCAGCCTCCTGAGTAGCTGGGATTTCAGGATTGCGCCACCACACCTGACTAACTTTTTGTATTTTTTAGTAGAAATGGGGTTTCACCATGTTGCCCAGGCTGGTCTCAAACTCCTGGGCTCAAGTGATCCACCCACTGCGGCCTCCCAAAGTGCTGGGATTACAGGTGTGAGCCACTGCACCAGCCTGCATTTCTTTCTTAAGGTGCAATCACTTTCCTTGTTGAACCTAGAGCATAAGCTAATATCTAGAATGTTAGCTTCTCATGAACAAGGACCATACTGTATCCTCCATGGTCTATGCTTTACGAATAGTCATGATCAAACACCTTTTGAAGAAAGCAATGAAACTTTTAAGAAAAATATCACTCTCTGAGAGGAATAGGTTTGTAGTTAGTTTTAAAGAAACTTGGGGGATCCCCTGAGTTGTGTAAACCTGGAGAGTGTGCCACCAGTACAGGTGTGACCAGTTAGTCTGGTGATACCATTTCAGCCATGAAGCTTAGCCATAGGTACAGTTTAAAATATGTATATAACTTCTTTTGATACTAAAATGTAAAGCAGGTAATCACATAAAGTCATTTTTATAGACATACATGCCTAGGTAAAATGTATTACCATATTAACTAGATATGATTTTATCATGTTTGTTTGTTAAAAATATATTTTTCCTTCTTGTGCCTTCAAAGTTAGAAATAACCTCTTAGATACTTGCTCTGGCATTCAAGTCCCTGAAGTTTCATTGAAGTTAATGTCTTCAGGCTTTCTTAAATAGGTCAGAGCCCACTGCCCCCATTCTAATCTTGCTCTCTCTCTTTCTCTCCTCTTTTTGCCATCAAAGGAAGAGGAGGGCAATAAAGAAATGGAATGGATCTCATTTTTCCATCTCTGACCTTTCCTGTGCTCCTTTCCAGTTAGTAGAGGAGGTAAGTAATCAAGATTGGGTACACATGTGAAACTCGTACTTATTAATTCAGCAGGTATTTAATATAAATATACTCTGTGTCAGACATTTTGTCAGGTTCAAGCACTGCAGAGATGAAAAAGTCACAATCCTGGCCTGCAAAGAGCTCATAGTCTGCTGGGGAGTGGAAATAGAACCGAATCATTCTTCTAGACTAAGATACTGGAAATATGTATAAAGGACTATGAGAGTACTGAGGAGGGGTTTGCCTCTTAGTATGAAGAGAAGGAAGGTTAGAGACATTGGAACTAGGTCTTGCAGGATGACTAGAGTTTTGCTAGATGAGAAGGAGGGGTAAGGACTGTATAGTGAGAACATAAGAAATTTGGTTTTTCATTCCTGAGTTACTTCACTTAGAATAACGGTCTCCAACTCCACCCAACTTGCTGCAAAAGGCATGGCTTCATTCCTTTTTAAGACTGAGTAGTATTCTATGGTGGATACATACCACATTTTCTTTTTTAATTCATTGGTTAATGGGTACTTAGGTTGGTTCCACATCTTTGCAGTTGTGAATTGTGCTGCTTTAAACATGCACGTGCATGTGTCTTTTTTATATAATGACTTACTTTCCTTTGGGTAGATACCCAGTAGTGGGATCATTTAACTGAATGGTAGCTCTACTTTTAGTTCTTTAAGGAATCTCCACACTGTGTTCTATAGTAGTTGCACTAATTTACATTCCTACCCAGAGCTGGATTAATTTAAGCAATAAAATAAATAATGATAGGCTTGTATTATAGCTAACAACAACAAATAAACATATATATATATTTATGTATATATATATATATATACACATAAATATATATATATATGTTGTATGTACATATATCCACTAGCCCATGCAGGCTTAAATAAATGATTGAATAAATAAATAAATAAATAAGAGAGGAAGGGACAACTATTTTTTTACAGAAGAATTTTCAATAAAATCTGTAGACCATTTCTCCTTCAGGAAGTAGGGCTTAAGTCCTCTTCCCTTGAGTGTAGGCTGGACTTAGTGATTCATTTTCAAAGAGTAAAATATCAAAAAGGACAATTAGTAGTTTTGTGGAGTGCTGTGGCAGACATCATCTTAAACAAGCGATGGGATTATCCTCACTAGTGATGTTATACACCCCTGCTGTGATGATGCGAAGCACCACACACCTCTGTGGCATTATCTTTAAAACCCATAACCTCAGTCTAAGCATGTAAATCCATCCAACAGACTTACATTGGGAACTCTTCAAAAGTTTCAAGGTCATAAAAAACAAAGACTGAAAGACCATCCCAGATCAGCAGAAACTAAGGAGACAAGATGACTAAATGCAATGTGGTACCCTAGGTGACTCCTGGAAGAGAAAAAGAACATTAGTGGGAAAACTTGTGAAATCCAAATAATGCCAGTAATTTGATAGTAGTAGTATGTCAGTGCTAGTTTCTAGTTGTGATAAAGGTGCCATGGTTATATAAGACGCTAACATTAGGGAAAACTGAGTGAAGCATATATATGAATTCTCTGTACTATGTAATTTTTTGTAAGTCAAAAAATATTTCAAAATAAAAATTTATTAAAAAATAAAGATAGCTTGGTGAAGGTAAGATAGCTTGGTAAGGCCTAATATTATGTGCTTCCTTGACATCTAGTGCAACTGGGGAGGTCTCAAATGACCTAACTGCAGGTTCTCCTCCCTACTCCACTCCTGCAGCTAACGTCTCCTAGTCAAACAACTCTACTTTTCAAAGGAACCAGGCAGTTTCTGCTTATCCCTGAGTAGCAGTTTTCAGTTTCCTGCCAGCCTGTGGAGTTTCTCAAACAAGCCAATCACCTCCTCCTGTGGGAGCTGAGAAGCACCCCACCCTCTTGATACTACAAAGCCCCTGGTTGTTCCCTAGTATACCCACTGTGTGGTTCTGTGTAGCATATGGTATCTTCCTCTCTTAGGCAGTGAATGTATGTGACTAATAAACTGTCTATCTCATCTGTTCAGTGCCAGCTGTCCTTTGTTCTGCCATCCCCTAACCTAGGGTGGGGATCCCTTCCACACCAACAGGGTGAATGCCACGTGGTTAAAACAAGATGCCTCATCAGAATCTATATCCTAGGGAAAAAATTAACAACTATAACAAAACAAGAAGCCTCAACTCAGACCCTGCATTCCAGATGTGTTACAGGGTCCTCTCTCCCCAGAGCCACTTTCTGGTCAGAGCTTACCTCCTCTTGCTCAGGGTTAGGAGCTCTGGGCAGGAAAAGGACATCATGGTGAAAGCTGGAGATGAAGAGGGGAATATGGTAATGAGGAGACAAAGGAAGAGAGGCCAAGGAAATATAAAAGGGAGGAGATGACACACCTCGAAGGCTCTAGCCAATGCTCAGTATATGCCAAAAGGCATTATGGAGCTTTAGGCCAGTGCCCCACAGAGTGCCTGGCATGCAGTAGGTGCTCAATTAGTATTGGAGGAGTCGGAAATTTTTACTGCCATAAGGCTCGGAGCAGGCTTCACTGAAAGGGATTGTATCAAAGCAGTACATTAAGAACTTGATCCAACCATGCAATGGGCACTGCATTGGGTTTTACAAGCTTAGAATGTTGTTCCCAACACACCACCTGGCTGTATGGCCTTGGGCGAATCCTCCAATCTCTCTGAGTGTATATATTCTCAACCATAAGTGAGGCTAACAGAACCCATGTGGTTCATGCTTACCCAACTGGCTGAGACCCAAATATAATGTTCTATGTGAATGTGTAAAATGTGTTAAATATCATAGCATTAGTAAACATATTAAACACACTGATTTGTGGGGCAGGAAGATTATGAGAGAGTATAAGAGTAAGGATTAAAAGATGTGGCTTCTGTTCTCAGGAAAAGTGTAGCCGAGTAGGAAGGAACACAGAAGTCACAGCAGTTCCAGCAAAGTCAGAGGTTCCATGGAAGAGGCGCACACAGCATGCGGCAACAGGGAAGACTTGACCAGGGGATGGATAGAGATTCCACTGAGGAGGTATGACATGAACTGGACCTTGAAGCATGAGTAATTTGATATGGGGCAACCAGCAGGGTTGGAATCAAAAGGCTGGTTCAAACATTAGTCTCTATGTTTACTGGTTCTGTGATGTTGGGCAAGTCTGAATCTTTGAGACTTAGTTGCCTCATCTTCAAAAGGGGATAACAACATCTATAGTTGGGATGAAAATCAAATGGAAGATACAAGTAAAAGTGCCCCACAGAGTGCCTGGCATGCAGTAGGTGCTCAGTTAATGTTAGCTAAGACTGAAGTTTTTATTGTTATGAAGCCTGGAGCAGGTTTCCTTGGATGGGGGTTCGATCTAAGGAGCAGATTAAGAACTTGGCCCATCCTTGGAGATTTCCCAGACATCATTAGACTTGTTCTGAAATGCTTCCCATCAGCCAGAGAGCCTTCAGAGCTATCTTGGGGATAGAGAATGGTCCAGGGAGTGAGGCCTGGACAGCTGTGTTCCCAGGGATTAGAAAATGAGGTGGGGAAGTAAGCCTCCCTCATGGGCTGTCCACTCTGGGGACTGGGCAATGGAGGCAGGCACTGCCTTTCTGGCTTGGCAGTTATCAGCAAGCATATGGCAGCTGGCTTCAGTGGCTGCCACCTCGACAGGTGGTGGTCCACTTAGCTGTCATCTGCCATCTTAAGCTCAACACATCTAACCTGAACTCCTGATCTTTGATACCCACCTGCTCCCCTCTAGCCTTCCCCATTCAGTGGAAGCATCTCCATTTTTCTAGTTGCTCAGGCCCAATTCCTTAGGGGTGACTTGGATCCTCTCTCCTTCTCCCTCTCTCCCTTCCATATCCCACAGCCCACCTTTCAGTAAATCCTCTTGGCTCTCCTTTTAGAAAATAGTCAGAACTGACCACTCCTCACCACTGCATTGCTGCCCCTGGGTTCAGACGCCATGGGCCTTGCACCTGGAACACTGCAGCAGCCTCCTGGCTGGTCTCTGCTTTTACCCTTGTCCCTGCTTTACAGCTGTTCACAAGAGGGCAGCCAACTGATCCTACCAAATCTTAGAGCATTTTAGTCATCTGCTCAAGATCCTCACATGTCCCCATTTCACTCAGGGTAAAAGCTAAGGTCATTACAATGTCCTACAGGACCCCTGTGACCCCAGAGCCTGGTTTCTGTTCCCTCTCTGACTTCATCTCCTGCAACTCTCCCCCTTGAGTCCTCTGTTCCAGCCACACTGGCCTCCTCCCTGTTCCTTAGGGCTTTTGCTCTGGCTGGCTCTCTGCTTGGAATGCCTTTCCTCCAGATATCCATATGCCAGCTCCCTCACTCCTTCAAATTTTTGCTCAAATGTCAACCTCTCAATGAAGCTTTTGACAATCCTATTTAAAATAGTAACCTGCACAGCTCCCTGCCTTCCCCCAGCGCACTCCAGCTCCACTACCCTGTGCCTCTTTTCTCATGCAGCACTCATCACCTACGGACCTTTTAATGCACTTGTTCTTTGTTTGTTTTCTGCCTCACCTCACTAGAGCATAAACCAAATGAAGGCAGGGGAGGGACTTGGTCAGGCCTATTCATGGATGTACCCTAAGTGCCTGGAGCACTTTTTGGTTGCTGCTAAATATTTGCTTGCTGTTTGTCCTGGGCTTCTGCATACTGCTGGATGGAGCAGGTCTGCTGTACCTAGGAGTCAGTCCCTGGCCTGGGTTAGCAGGCTGGCCTTCCTGTATGATAGCTGAGCTAGGTTCTAGGAGTGAACTGACTTGCCTAAATCCTCAAGCTGAAGTTGAGGGCTAGACCTACCAGGGACCTCAGGGGATCTGACTCCGAATGAGTCTTCTGTGTCTCTGAGCGTCCCGGGTTAAAGAGGATTGGAACGGGTGATTGGAGCAGGAAGGAAAGGCTCCCGGGAAGGTAGGGGCTTAGGGACCCCTGCCTGTTCTGACTGGAGAGTTTAGCACATTTGTAGGATGTGCCCAGGGTTACCTGTCTCTTTTCTACACTGCTATCCCAACCCCACCCGTTGCATGAGCCTCACGTGGGCATCTCTGATGTTTCAGTAGCTGAGTGGGGTGGGGAGGATTTTGGATGTTAGAGTTGAGCTTGCCAGTGAATGGACTCTGGACTCTGAATTGAGCCTCCAGGAGAGGGAGAGAACCATGGACAGGAGGTTGGGAGCTTGGGGTACCCCTCCCTCCAGCTGCTAGGCTATGGAGTTTTCATCTGTTCAAAGGGAACAGTTAAGCCTGCACTGTCTCCCTTCTGACGTTCTGAGGATCAAGTGAAATAATGTATATGAAAATGTTTTCAAAAGAATAAAGAGCTTTGCCAGGATAAGAAATTGCTTTTATCCAAGAGATAAGTCAAGGGTGAGATTTCTGACAAGTATTTTTGTGTGGGCTGTTACTTTAAATCCTGTTTTGTTTGTTTAAAAACAAAAAAAACCCCACAACAATAAATCCGGGCCTGCTCTATCAAGAAACAGTGGAATGTGCTGTGTGGCTTCACAGATCACCCATCTCTCTGCAGCTCAGCATCCTCTGCCACCGCAGCCTGTTCTCAGATGGGGATATGCTGGGTGCTGAGTGCCCGCCCACCAGCACAGCCCTTGCATGGCCTGGGATGGGCTGTGGCTTTGCAAAAGCCAGATCAGTGCTGCTTGGTTGTGAGAGTGAACTGCTTGCCCCAGAGCTTCACTGGCACCATTGGGAGGCAGGGGGATGTTGGGCCAATCCCTTGGTTCATTCAGGACCTGAGTGGGGAGCAGTGGAACAAGAGGAGGAAAACAAATATTTGTAGGATTCTTTTCTGTGCCAGGAGTCATCATTCTTTACACCTCACAGCGAACCTGCATCTCTCTAAGGTTTCTTCTCATTACTGATTTGAAAATTAGAAAACTCAGTCTCAGAGAGGTTAAATAACCTGTCCTGGGCTTCTTAGTCACCAGCCTGAGTGTCACTGAAATGAAGATCTGTCTGGTTTCCAAATCTGAGCCCTTTTCACAGTGCTGCACTCCCCTTTCCATAGATTGATGGACTGGGTTCCAGTCTCAGCTCCTTACCCAACATGTGTGACCTTAGGCAAGTCATTTAACTTCTCCCATCCATTTCCTCAGCTATAAAATGCAGCGATAACTTTCTCCCTCAGTGGGTGGTTGTGAGAATCATGTGAGATAATGTATGTGGAGCAATCAGAAACATTGAGCAAAATGTTACAGGCAAGCAAGGAGTTACTATTATAATTTGGAAAGCATTGATTTTATTCTGTGACTCCCTTGCTCAGGAACATTCAGTAAGTCACTTCCCTGCCCAGAATCTGCTGGGTCCTCCCTGTCCCTTATGCTCTCACTGTTCCTCCTCCAGCTAGCCTTTCTTTGTGCTCTTTTAAGTGGCATGTCCTTTACCTGACATGTCCACTCTGCCACCTCTCTGCCAATCTGAATTTTTCCCTACCTTTAAAACTCAGTGTACACCGGGTCTGCTTCCTTCAAGAAGCCCTATTCTCCAGGCTCACGTGGCTGTGCCACCACCTGAGGTGCAAGGGCTCTTCGGTTGTGTCAGAAGCAGGAGCACTTCTCTTCAAGGAGGTTTTCAGCTCCTGCGGGGTAGAGATCATGATTCTGTGCTCTTTGAATGTTCTTGCAATACCTCATGCAGTACTTGAGACCTATAAGCTAAACACTCAGAAAATGTTGATGGAAGGACTGATCCAGGGAATTGGATCCATTCCTCTACTTTTCATGATCGTACCAGGTCATGGAAAGGTGTGGCTGTTTTTCCCGTCCCCTTCGGTGGTCCTCAGCTCTCTTCTGGAAGAGGCAGCTTCCTGCCTGAACTCACACAACACAAGCAAGTCCCCAGCTTGAGTCTGCGCCCCCTCCTCTCTGCCTGGCCTGGCTCTGTCCTTGTGGAGCTGCCTTGCTCGAGCACTCTGACCTCTAAGATCTTCCCTGCCTTGTACCACTTTCAAATCCATGTCCGGGCTCTTACTTATCCCTTGGCTTGTTTTTCAAGAACACTGTTGGTCTGCCATGGGCATGTAGTAGCTGCTCAGTACTTAATACTTTACCAAGACTGGATGCTGATCTCAAAGGATCAGCTGAAATCTGCACACTCAGATTGCAAAAGCTTCCCAGGTGCCTTTTTTGGTTATTATTATTATTTTTTTGAGACAGGGTCTTACTCTGTCACTCAGGCTGGAGGACAGTGGCGTGATCTCTGCTCACTGCAGCCTCCATCCCCTGGGTTCAAGCGATTCTCCTACCTCAAGCCTCCCAAGTAGCTGGGACTACAGGTGCACACCACTATGCCCAGATAATTTATTTTTATTTTTTTTATTTTATTTTTAATTTTTTTTATTTTTTATTTTTGGTAGAGACAGGGTGCTGTCTCTACCAAAAGCATAGAGATCATGTTGGCCAGGCTTGTCTCAAACTTCTGACCTCAAGCATTCCACCTGCCTCAGCCTTTCAAATACTGGATTACAGGTGTGAGCCACCATGCCTGGCCAAGTGGTCCATCCACCTCAGCTTTTCGAATACTGAAATACAGATGTGAAATGCCATGCCTGGCACCCAGATGCTTTTTAGTATTCAGAATGCAAGCATGGATTCCGCAAGCAAGGGAAGGTAAAAAAGAAAGCCTAGCCTTGGTATTGATCACATTAGTTTGAACCATGCCACCAGGCATATGACTTCATCTCTCAAATCCTTGATTTCTTGACACGTAAATTGTGGATAATGATAACACAGACATCATAGTGTTGTATGAGCATGCCTTTAAATACCATCCCAAATTATGTCCCCAGTCCCATTGTTCAGGTCTTAGTTTAGATGCTTTTTACTCAGCAAGCATCTGAGAACTTCCTCCAAGCCCCAAGGAAGTCTCTTGTGTTGTCATGTACCACAATGCCCTGTTAATTTCCTTCCTAATACTTCAATTTCCTTCCTAGTACTTCCTAGTACCTACAGTCTATAATTACTGCATATGTGTACATGTATATTTTGTTTCCCCACTGGAATG